ATCCTGTTTGAGTCTTGCAGTATATACATTTTTTCTCTGTACCAATCATCTTTTTATGGCGAGTGATCTCTGTCGATCCTGGAGGCTGGTTTTTACCACGGTTTGGAACTCTGAGTCATACATCTATACCTGCATTGGGGAGAGTTCCACCTAAACCTGGTGATTGGAGGCTGAATTGAATGGGTCTAGGATTCCAAAACCCATAATTAAAGGCATTTTTTTCAAAATTATCTGCCGAGTGCGGTATGTGATCTAAGCACAAACGGGGGTGTGAACACGGGTCAAGGGTCTTTTGAAAAAGGACTTTTCAATTTCACTCTACTCACCATATTCATCTTAATAATTATTTTGTTGGAGTGGGACTATTCAATTCACATCATATTTAGTGTAAGTTTTACATTTTTTTTATTATATTAGATTTTTGTGAGTATTGATTTGCGCTGTTTGAGGTTTTTTATTGTTAGATATCTCCTCTGCCCTTACATTATCTAATCTCACCAAGATCGGTGTGATCAAATGCTTTCCCAATTTACAAACGGCCTGTTTTTATCCTGTGAAACTATAGTCTAAGAAAAATCGGAAGCTACGAGCATTTAGTCACTTCAGAGATGATTGGAGCCATTCTGGTCTCTGACCAGCTCTATGGTCAGCCAGTGGAACTGCCGGGTGCATTCTCGGATTCCCCTGTGGGACTGGACAGCCCAAGAAAACTGTGGAAGGCAGCAGGAAGGGAGGAGGGGGAGGGGGGGGGGGGGTCCCATCCCGCTGCTTGTAAAAACAATTCAGCAGCTAATTGGCCACTAGGATTGTTTTTACATGAAAGCAGACCGCCAGGTTAAAAAAAAAAAAAAAAAAAAAAAAAAAAAAAACACGATACCAGAATGATGCCTGTAGCTGCAGGCATCATCCCGGTATAAACCACTCAAAGTCCAGTGAGGTACCAGTACATTGCAGGTCCATGTTGGCCATATATGTAACAGCAGAGAACACAGGCATATGATGAATTGGCTCTGTGAACCAATATGACTGCAATTCATTCTTCTTTGTAATGCCCATGTTGAGGGTTAGGTCCAAAATAGTTTTAAATTCAGAAACCGTGATAGGTTTCCATGCGAATTGTCTGGCAAGAGCTGAATTTGGGTGGGTGGCGTTGTATTGTTGTGCGTATAAATTGCCTTGGCCCACAATCAATTGATACAAATCTTCTGCGAAAAACAACAGAGGGGCAAAAACGCTAGCGCTGGCAGCAAATGGGGATCATCCTGCTAACTCTGTGGTTTTTGTGGACAATATACAAAAAGGAGGCATTCGTATAGTTCTGTTCATGATCAATATATTGATCCGTACAAACACTAAACTAGTAATGGTGGTGATCATATAGCGTGAGTGCGATAGTGTGCGTGCAATCTAACGCTAGCTGACCCTGGCGGGGTGAGGCGCTTTTTCACCCTGACGTTATCTGATGTCGCTAGTGGCAGGAATACAGTGATTGGTGAATTTAAAAAAAAATAAAAATCTCAATATGTTTTTTTTTTTTTTTTTTAACACTGCTTTGTAGGAGAAATAAAGATAATTTCTCCTGCAATGCAAAGCTTTTCTGTCAGAACCTGTCGTGAACTGTCATGAATGAGTTAAGTTTTGACAGCTAAGGATAGTGCGCTGTGATTGGCTGGAGCTGCTCACATGGTACAGGGTGCTGTGATTGGCCCCATGTATCATGTGACAGCTGTGGGCCAATCATAGCTCACTAGGAAGCAAAGCAGAGCTGTTATGAATGACATTGATTCATAACAGCTTTCCTTACATAGTGATCATGTGAAAGCATAGCGATCGCATGATCACCGAGTCCTGTTGTGTTAGTACAGCCAGAGAAAAACGTATGGGTATGTCGCTTTGCCTGTAGCTGCTGCCCCGGCCACAGTACATTGCGGGCGGGAAGTGGTTAAATTAAACAAAACCTGAAACCAGGTTTTGCACTCTCCAATTTTAGTAAATAACCCCCAAAGTTTTTTCATTCACAAATATCTGTGAACGAATGACCTGGTTATGTGGATGAAGCTACACACAACTGCTATCATTTCAAATACAACAGAAGGGAGACCTGTTTGAGGGTAGGGGGATGCACACCCTGACCATGTTTCTTGGCACACCCTAAATACGTGTGTAATAGGGTTGCCACCTCATCCCTGTAAAACCAAACATTAATTATACAGGTTCTGAGGCTAATTTAATGCAGGTAAGGCACTGAGTTTAATTACCATCTTTACCAGTCACAGAATCTGTGTAATTAATATGTGTTCGGATTTAAAGGGATGAGGCGACAACCCTAGTGTGCAACATGGCCGGCCTGGCGTCACTCCTGTGCATGAAGCTGCAATCCTGGCACTGTAATCTGAATGGCCTATAAGCAGCTCAGTTTTCATTGCCAAAGGAGACAAGCAGGCAGGTACGGGCATTTTATTGCAGAAGCAGTGCATATCTTTTCCGCAAAAAAAGCCTGCCTGTGTGCATTTGTTTTTACTGCGGGACTTAAGTTTTGATATAAGGATGTTGATCTGGGTTGACAATGCTTTTCTATGTGTCCTGTTCACAGCATACAGGTGTGTTCTGCATGGACATCTCCGGTCTCTCAGCTCGGACACCAGGTATTATGGTTTTGGCTGCGCCAGTGGCAGGGAAGTGCTGGAGTGGCAAGAATAAAATGGTTCGTGTGTTTTTTTCTCTAAAGCTGAACTCCAGGTAGAAATTAAAGGCAAATCAATTCATCTTTTTATAATTAAACGCAAAAATACTTACCTTCGTTTGAACTGTCCGATACCCGCAAGGTCCTGAGTAGTCCTCCTTTTCCCAGGCTTCTTACAGGTGCCGGGCTCTGGCCAACTTGAGAGGACGTCACCCCCGCACATGTGCAGGAGTGCAGTTCTCCTGACACAAGCAGTACACCAGAATGCAAACTGAGCTGTCCATGCGTACAATGGATTGCCAACAAGAGGTAAGTATTTCTTTGCAAAAAAGACATTTATTCTACAGTAAAGAGCCTTACTGTTCTCAATTTTTTACTATAACCACTTAACCTCCGCCCTATAGCAGTTTTACTGCTACAGGGCGGCTCTCCAGTACAAAATCACGTAACTACACGTGATTTTGCACTTCAGCCTCACTGTGGCACGTGAGCGCCTCTGGCAGATAGCTTCTGCTGTGAATTGTCAAAGTCCCTGCGAATGGATCTTTGCCGGCACCTGCAGATCGTTGGGCAGGGAGGAGGAACAGAGATCTGCCCATGTTTACATAAGGACAGTTCTGTTCTGACAGCGGTAAGTGATGGACCGTGTGTCAGAGCAGAACTGGGAACATGATCCATCACTTCCCCTAGTACCAGCGCCATCTAGTGTACACCAAGCACATTGCTAGGCACACACTTAACCCTTTGATCACCCTAGATGTTAACTCCTTCCCAACCAGTGTAATTAGTACAATAACCAGTGTATATTTTTTAGCACTGATCACTGTATTAGTGACACTGGTTCCAACAAAGCGTTAGCATAAAATGTCCACCGCAATATCACAGTTCTGCTATAAATCACTAAATCGCCACCATTACTAGTATAAACAAAAATAATAAAATAAAAAAAAAAAAAAAAAAAAAAAACTTCCAGTATATGTCTGATAGTTTGTAGACCTAACTTTTGCACAAACTAATCAATGCTTATTGGGATTTTTTTTTTCTCCAAAAATATGTAACAGAATACATTTTAGCCTAAATTTATGAAGATATTTGATTTTTACATTTTTTTTAATTGGATATATTTTATAGTAGAAAATAATTCTCCCAGAATTTGTTTATAAAACACAAAAAGTTAAAACCGCCAAGATGATCAAATTCCACCAAAAGAAAACGCTAGCTGTGGGGAAAAAGGACAAATTTAATTTGGATACAGCGTTGCATGACCGTGGAATCATCCGTTAAAGTAACTCCGTATTGGAAAAAATGGCCTGGTCAAGAAGGGGAATAAATCTTCCAGAGGGTACGTGGTTTAGTAATCCCCTTTAAATCCCTCTCTGAAAGTAAAACTGGGCCCCCCTCATCAGTTAGAAACCAAAATTCATTGGCAGGTCAAACAGCTCCCAGAAAGGCATTTTATCTTTGTATTTAGTGGTCTGCAATCTTCTATGTTTTAACTTTATTTCTCCTTTATAGTTAAATTCTCAGCAAGCAGGCAAAAGAGACATAACATCCGAATGGAAAGAATGAACTCCCAAGTACATACATGGTAGTTAATTTATCCCACGCCGCCAGTCAAGATGACCAAAGATACTGACCCTGAAGAAGCTGGTGAGAAGATGTCGAAGAAGTCAAGGGAGCTCTCAGACATCACAAAGTTGGATCACTGGGGAGTATTCGCAGACCTTACCTCCACATTTACTGTGCAGCATTATAAAAGCACAGCATATCAGTTTTGGGTTGACTGGACTAAGGCTAGTCAAGCGATTACATGTTTGCATTTCATCACGTGACTGCAGCAGAAAGGGTTTGGGTTAGAGACATGGGTGAGATTTACTAAAACTGGGGCACTCAATCCGGTGCAGTTGTGCATAGTAGCTGATCACAGTTTCTAACTTCAGCTTGTTCAATTAAGCTTTGGCAATAATATCTGGAGGCTGACTGGTTTCTAATCGGAGGAGTCGCACCAGATTTTGCTCTCTCCAGTTTTAGTAAATCTCCCCCCATTTAGGCAGAAGCGGCCAACAGTCGTTGGCTCTGCTTGAACTTTGAAAAGATTATATTAACAATTGTGGAAAGTGAATATCCACATTTACCAAAACAAATATTGTGCGTTTATCTAGATTGCTCATTTTATAAAAAACAGTTATAGTAAATTCTTATAACATGCACTATGCAGTTAGTATTGATTTAAAAAAATACTGTCTATTGGCAGGTCTTCATTCAGTGAAGCAATGATAAGAATCCACTGAACCAGCAAAGGTCTCCCAATACATACCCTCTTGAAGTCGTTCATATTTGTTGCCTGTACCGGAGTCCCGATAAAAGTAAAGTATGTGATTCTGGTTGTCTCCTCATCACCCTGATTGGACTGGACAAATAGCTGAAAGAAAAATGATTAGCAGCCGGTTAGGAAGACACTGGGGGATAGATATGATAAATCTGGTGTGAACACGCTTTTGTGGGATCAGGTGGCCGAGCAATAAAAGACATAATTTAATTAGTTCCAATAGAGATTAGCCTAACAAATTTCACAGATTCCACAAATTGAAACTGTCCTAGCAATGTCATTCCAGAGCAGCCACCTGTGAGCCTATAACCAGAATGGGTTATTTAAAGACTGCGGGACATTAAGGAGCAGCACAAGGAGAAATGGAACTTTGTAATCATTTATCCCACAGCCTGGCAAATGAAGCAAGCTAATGAACTCAGCGCATCCACACTAATTACTGATGGACTGGGCTTTTCAGATGAAAAGATTCTACTGTATGAGAAACTATTATTAACCGCTTTGTGACCAAAACAAAGGAATCCTGATCAAGCTGCCACCTACGAACACAAATATTTCACTGAGAAAAAAAAAAAAAAAAAAAAAGTATTTCCCTAAAATTATTATACAGATTTATAGTATTTAAACATTTGTGCACAAAAGGTGGTTCATGGCCATAATTTTTATATTTGTTTTTTTAAGGACAAATACGTATTTAATTTGATATAGAATTTTATTAAAAAACAGCCCACACTTTTTATTACAGACAGACAAGTTTAAAAAAAATAAATAAAAATTTAAAAATATCTGAATTTTTTTTTTTTTTCTTGAACTATAACTGTATTAGAGAATGACAGGTCCGTGTCCACTGCGCTGCTGCAGGGAGTACACAGACACAGCCCACTGTCCTTGATGGATGGAAACGGATCACCTGTCTGTTTCCATCTGACTGCCATCCCATCCGACGTACGGAAGGGGAATAGATCCCCTTCAGTCTCTTTCTGGCAGATCGGATTGGATGCCATGCCAGGAACGTCCAAGCAAGAGCAACAATAATTCTCGCACTAGACCTCCTCTGTAATTTTACACTGCTAACCTGTAGAAATGTTTAAAACATTATGGAGATTTTTTAAGTACCGCAGTTTCACGCCATTTCACGAGCATGTGTAATTTTAAAACGTGACATGTTTGGCATCTATTTACTCGCCGTAACATTCTTATTTTACAAAAAAATTGGAGTATATAAATTGTGTTTTTTTTTCCAAATAAGTATTTTTGTCTAAAAAAAAAACAAAAAACAAAAACCATTCATTTTTAAAAACTGCGCATTTCGGTTTTCGGCCAAGTGCATTTTGAATTTTCGTTTTCGGCACCAGAATTTTCATTTTGGTGCACCACTAGTTAAAGCTAATTGAACAAGCTGAAAATTAGAATATGACTGGCTACCATACACAGCTATTGCAGATTCTGAGTACACCAGCTTTAGTAAATCTCTCCCACAGTTTCGATCGGTAGCTGTCAAAGGAATGACATTTATTAATGTATCCCTGTGCTGAGGAACATTAGAGGGTGAGTTCACCTCTAGGCCTCATTCACGAGGGGTGTGTATATCTCTCTATCTACCTACCTATCTACCCATCTATCTACCTACCTATCATCTCTATATATCTATCCCACATGAGGGCCATATTTACCCTTACTAGGATATAGAGGTATCCACGCATCCTCATGCAGGCATGTCCCATTCATGTCACATTCATGTCAAACGGGACACAGCCTCTGCACAGACACAGCCATTGCTCCCAACCTGACATCTGTGTGACTGCATCACAGAACTCAATCTGCATTTGGGGACATGGACCCATGTGAATCTCAGATTGGCAGCAATGGCGGTGTCCATGCAGCTGTTGCATTCCAATTGACATCAAATGAACTGCCTGCATGGGGATGCACGGAAATACAGGCCATGCATATATAAGCCCCGTGTCCTAGTAAGAAGACTGGACAGAGCAATGAAAAGCATTTGCAGTCTGGCAGGCTGCTAACATTGTGAAAATAACCTACAGGTACAGTATAACATCAGAAGAGAGGCATGGTTTTAAAATTGGATAAATTTGGGGCAATGCAGTTTTTTTTTTTTTTAAATATACAGTCATGCAAAAAAAAGAGTACATCCCATTGAAAATGACTTTCAACATTTGAAGAGACAAACATTAGCTCCTTATTCAAACAGTGCCCCCAGATAAAAAGGTGATATTCCTGAATAAAAACACAAGGTAACTAGGCTTTTCAAAATGTTTTCAACAATAATATCAATAGATGTAATTATGTACTATGAATAATGTATGCATACCTTTGGCCTCAAAAGTTGTTACTGTAACTACAGAAATTACTTCTTGTAGACATTTTATAACCACTCATCAGTCTTTGGCATTATCATTTCTGACCACTTTTCCATGACAAATTTCTACAATTGCTAGATGTAGGTTTCCTTACGGGAACCATCCATTTCAAAATCCCTCTACAAAATTGTAGCCACTTCAATATCGCCATACCTACATATACATCCTGGTGTTGAAGTGCTTTTACCACTGCAGCTACAGTCATGATCCTGTTATTGTTTTTTTTAGATCTGGCTGCACATTGTACAAGTAATCCTTGCGGCTATACATTACTTTTACAGACTGTGGAGGTCCCCTGCCATTCCTGTGACCAACGATTTTACTGGGCTCTTCCGTGTGACCAGGGAGCCAGCTAATAATACCACTAGCGGCATCGGCTTCCCCAAACACAGTGAGGAGAATTGATGTTGTTCCTTACATTGTGTGATTTCAGAAACCAGAAATGAGGATTTAGTCATTTCTGGTTTCAGTCCATCTGTTTACATGCTGTTACAGGCTTGTTTAGCAGATCAAACCGATCTCTGATCTGCTGCTTTGAAGGCCAGAGGAAAAATATGAGGTCTCATATACCCCAGATCTCGCCTTAAAAACAGGACCTGTCATGGGCCATGCTATCACAAGGGATGTTGTCTTTGTTGTGAAAGTCATTAAATTGATTTCCAAAAAATGTTTTTAAAAAAACTACTGCTCGAATACCGTGTGACATACAAAAATTGCAACACCTATCATTTTATTCTCTAGGGCCTCTGCTTAAAAATACATATAAAATGTTTGGGGTTTCTCTGGGGATTCTTAGCAAAAACAAAAAAAAAAAAAAAAAAACAAAAAAAAAAAAAAGCAGATTTGTACATGTATGACAAATGTCAGAATTGGCCCAGTACACAAGTGGTTAATGGATATCAAAACAGGGCTCCAGTTAGGCCAGTCTATTACCCTTCGTGCCCATTTTTGAGTCATTCCTTTTTGGACTTCATGTGCTTTAGCTTATAACATTAAAGATCAACTTTCAGAGTTACCTGCAGATTCCCCAATACATTTTTGGGGTTCTTGGAGACTTTAGCATCAAAGGTCATCTCTTGGGCTGAATTTGATGGGCCAGTTGGTCCTGAACAGACTAAAAGTCATTTGAAATCTACACCAATAGTATATATTTTTTCTTAAGCTAAAATGGTTTCAAATAATTTAGTAATCTTTTTACTTGAGGTGATTGTAGCCGTATTAGTGCATTTGTGACAGAAACAATTGAGTACTGTCCGTGATACAATTTTGAGGACAAGCTTTCGGGGTATGACCCCTTCTTCAAGGTCCAAGCAGTACTATACAAATCACAACGTTTTAGCAGAATGTCAGAAGAGATTGAGGGGGGGGGGGGGGGGGGAGAAAGAAGGAGGCTAGAGATAAGACACAGCAAAAGCAAAAGGGGGGGGTGGGAGACAACATTCACGTCACAGAGGGAGTCAAGCTTAAGCTGATAGTATAAAACTGTTGGATAATGATTGAGGAATACCATGTCCAAATTCAGGCCGTTATCTCTTGTGTCAAATAGAATTATCAAGCAAATCCATTCAGGAAAGAAAAAGCTTTGAACTAAGAATGAGAATTCTATTTGACACAAGAGATAATGGCCTGAATTTGGACATGGGATTCCTCAATCATTATCCAACAGGCTTATGACTATCAGCTCAAGCTGGACTCCCTCTGTGTGTGAATGTTGTCTCTCCCCCCCCCCCTTTTGCTGTGTCTTATCTCTAGCCTTTTTTTTTTTTTTCTCTTCATCTCTTCTAACATTCTGCTAAAACTTTGTGACTTGTATAGTACTGCTTGGACCTTGAAGAAGGGGACACTCCCCGAAAGGTTGTCCTCAAAATTGTATGTTAGTGCAAATATAAAAAAAAAAAAAAAAAAGTATCACGGACAGTACTCAGTAACCTTTTTAAAAATCTTACAAGATGCATAGGCATCCATAGCCTTCTTCTGATGACCCATAGAGTATTCACTGGATCTTGGCACAATAACGCCCACACATCTCAATAGCAAAGGAACACTACGCCCTAAAGATCTGAGGTTTACATAGGACCAGTTAAACCTGCATACTCCATAAGAAGGTGCTAATCATGAACATCTAAACTGGAACACAAGATTTTAATTCCATGGATTTGAAAAGGTGATAAAAAGTAGGGGTGTACTTAATATTTCCATGTAACAAAACTTCCTTTTCTGTTAACTTAGACTATAAACATGAATACACCACATCTGTTATGTCTCATTTGTTCATGTACATCACCTTTATCTGAAGGCACTGTTTGAATGAAGATCTAATGTTTGCATCTTCAGATATGATGAAAATGACAATTACCATGGAGAATACTTACATTTTTCCCATGACTGTAGGGATTACATGTGGAAAGGGGTCATCATACTACAGATTGTATCTAGTTACTGCTGAATATCCTTTGCTGTACAACTGTATGTATTTATTTAAAATATACCAGGTTAAGTTGCCAAGTATCTAGAGCATGGGTCTCCAAACTTTCTAAACAAAAAAGGGCCAGTATACTGTCCTTCATACATTTTGGGGGCCAAACAAAGCAGTGAGAGTAGAAAATGTCCTGGTGTCAGTGGGAGTAAACAATGCCTCATCATTGGTGTCAGTGATAGGAACAGTACCCAATCGTTAGGGTTAGTGGGATAAACTGTGCCCCATATATTTATAAATGTTGCACTCCTATTATCCAACTATATAGAGTGTGTGAAATATACTATTATATATATATACAAACTGACAACAAATTTTCAATATATCAATGAAGTGATCATAATAAAAAACAAAAATAAATCCGTTTATTCAAAAAAAGTCAAAATTTGTGATAAAGTGATTAAAACATAATACAGTGACTTTCTGTGAAACCTTCAGTGAAATTAAATGTGCACTCACCTCCTTCTAAGCCTATTATACAGGCTTAATAAACTTTTGGTTCACATATCCTGGAACCTACTAGAATTGCTGCAGTATGATGGATGTTGGATTTTGACTTTTTTTTGGATAAACGGATTTAGTTTTCTTTATTATGATCACTTTATTGATATGTTGAAAATTTTGTCAGTTTGTATATATAATAGTATATTGCACACACTCTAAATAGTTGGATAATAGGAGCGCAACATTTATAGATATATGGTTTAAATTGCACAGTTGGAGTATGTGTTAATTTGTTAGCGATCCCTAAGGTTTTTTTTTTGTTTGGCTCCCAAGTTACACACACCTATAAACTGTGCCCCATTGTTGGTGTCATTGGGAGGGATTGTGCCCTTCAACGGTGTCACTGGAAGGACGTATGCCCAGTTGTTGGTGTCAGTGGATGGAATAGTCCTCCAAGGGCCAGATAAAGGCAAGCAAAGGGCCACATCCAGCCCCTGGGGCCGCAGTTTGGAGACCACTGATCTAGAGCGCTGGAAGTGGTCCAGCACCAATTTGCCGAGTTTACACTTACCGTTACACTATTTACATTCTGAAACTTAACATAACGTAGCTGTATGATGCTATCCTCTTTTATGTCATCTGCTGTCAATTCCAGAGCTTGAGTAGGTTCACTTCTCATTGCTTCATCAAAATCCATGGATCGTGGGAGGTTTGTGAATATTTTTACATACTTTGGACCCTGCCCTGTGGATAGAAAGAAAAAAAAAAAAAAAAAAAAAAGTTATTTACGAAGAACTTTCTACATGCTAGTAAAGTCTATAGGGATGAATGGAACTGCAGAGGACATGAGCTGGAAAGCCCATAGAGAAACAGAACTGAACAGGGCATGAGCTTACAAGTCTATAGTAAGGAATGGGATTTCAGAGGGCACATACCAGTCTAGGAGCGAATGGGATTGCAGAGGGCATGGGCTCTCAAATCTACAGAAATGAATAAGACTGAACAGGGAAAGGACTTGCAAGTCTATAGGAATTAATGGGATTACAGAAGACATGGGCTCGCAGGTCTAAGAGAATGAATGGAATTGAATAAGGCATGGAATTACAAGTCTATTGGAAGGAACGGGTTTGCAAAGCGTATACATGGTCCCAGCCAATGGGCCTCCATGGATCACTCGTTTTTCCAGCAAATCCCACAGATGTTCGATTGGATTGAAATCTAATTTGCAATATAATTTCTATTTTTGGATCTGTTCCAGCCGGATTACCCTGTCAGTGGTCAAAGTTATGGCTGACCAGTGCATACTGTATCTCTGTCTGTGCTTGATGTGTAAACAGTTCACTTTAGGAAAAGTGCAATAGTGCTTTTCCAAGCAAAGCAATCCACCACAGCATGTGAAATGTGCACAGTTAATGAACTTCTGTGCCTCAATCCACCAATGATAATTCCATTATTTGGCCACTCCACTATACCTCTCCTTGATCACCTCTTGTGCTTAACATTACTCAAAGTGTATGCTCACCTTTCACTTACAACCAGACTTCTCTAGAGTATTACTGCACACAACTCCAGGTATTCTGCATAAAGCAATTTCATTGTGCTTTCTACACTGCTCAAAAAAATTTAAAAGGAACACTTTGAAAACACATCAGATCTTAATGAGGAAAAAAATCATGCTGGTTATCTACACTGATATGGACGGGGTAATGTGTTAGGAACGTAAGGATGCCCCATCGTTTGATGGAAATTAAAATTATCAATCTACAGAGGACTGAATTCAAAGACACCCTGAAAATCAAAGTGCAAAAATGGTGCCACAGGCTAGTCTATTTTGCAGAAAGAAATTTCATTGCAGCAACTCAAAATGGTCCTCAGTTTGTATGGCCCCCACATGCTCGTATGCATGCCTGACAATGCATGCTCCTAATGAGACAATGGATGGTGTCCTGGGGTATTTCCTCCCAGATATGGACAAGGAGATCACTGAGCTTCTTAACAGTCTGAGGTGCAACCTGGCGGCATAGGATGGATCGAAACATGATATCCCAGAGGTGTTCTGTTGGATTTAGGTCAGGTGAGCGTGGGGGCCATTCAATGGTGTTCATCCTCCAGGAACTGCCTGCATACTCTCACCACATAAGGCCGGGCATTGTTGTGTACCAGGAGGACCCACTGCACCAGGAGGAACCCAGGACCCACTGCACCAGAGTAGGGTCTGACAATGGGTCCAAGGATTTCATCCCGATACCTAATGGCAGTCAGGGTGCCATTGTCTAGCCTGTAGAGGGCTGTGCATCCCTCCATGGATATGCCTCCCCAGATCATCACTGACCCACCGCCAAAACAGTCATGCTGAAACATGTTACAAGCAGCAGAACGTTCTCCGCGGCTTCTCCAGACCCTTTCACATCTATCACATGTGCGCAGGGTGAATCTACTCATCTGTGACAAGCACAGGGCGCCAGTGGCAGACCTGCCAATTCTGGTGTTCAGTGGCAAATGCCAATCGAGCTGTATGGTGCTGGGCAGTGAGCATAGGGCCCACTATTAGACGTCAGATCCTCAGGCCACCCTCATGAAGTCCATTTCTGATTTTTTTTGGTCAGAGACATTCACACCAGTGGCCTGCTAGAGGCCATTTTGTAGGGCTCTGGCAGTGCTCAGCCTGTTCCTCCTTGCACAAAGGAGCAGATATCGGTCCTGCTGATGGATTAAGGACCTTCTACAGCCCTGTCCAGCTCTCCTAGAGTAACTGCCTGCCCCCTGGAATCTCCTCCATGCTCTTGAGACAGTGCTGGGAGACACAGCAAACCTTCTGACAATGGCACATATTGATGTGCCATCCTGGAGGACTTGGGACTGCCTGTGCAACCTCCGTAGGGTCCAGGCATCACCTCATGCTACCAGTAGTGACACTGACTCAAAAAGGACATTTGAGGTTGATACAAATACATATATCAGCATACCTCCGCTTCAATTAAGTGTTTTCATCGTAACCAAAATAAATTCCACAAACAAAAAAACGACCCAAAAAAGGTAGGCACAGTGGTTACCATTGGTGACATTTTCTGGGCTGGAATGCCACAAAGCAGTACTGAATTCAAAGTGTAATCAAAAATTTTATATTTTTTACTTAATATTGGTTAAAATCACCAACGTAAATTCCAAGCAACAACAGTCATGAATAAAACAAATTGAAAAACATGAATAAACCAAAAAAAAGACCGAACAAAAAAAAATAACAAAACGTCCAAACGCATGTAGAGTCACTCATGGGTTCTGTACCGCAGTAACCGATGTATATTTGATTAATAAATCTCGTAATAGGCATTTCCCATATGTGAATCTTGGAAACCCTGCTGACTAACTGATGCTATGGAGCCTCAAGTGCACTAGAATATATCAATAATTGTCATGACTTGAAAAACGTGCTCAATGTGTATAGCAGGGCCCTGTATGAGTCGGCACATCAGTCCTTGTATAAGGGTTCATCCAGTCAGTTGTATCTCTTACAGAGACTGACACTTTGTTCACCACATAGGTGATCCCTGTGTAGGAGTACTGGAAAAGGTGAGACTGTAGGAGTTTTGTGTGGTAATAGAAAAGTTTTTAATGTATGTACTATGGATAACACAAGTGTTTGGTGTGTACTGAGCAGAGCCAGCAAAGAACATGTGGCCAACTATGGATAACACAGTAGGACCTTTTTCTTCATGTTCCTCTCAGTCCAACCTGGACCTAGTATATATGGAGTGTTCGAATGGTCCAGTGTCTATATGGGTCGTCACTACTTTGCAGTGAAAGCGGCATATACTTTACCACTCTTTCGGCTGTTGCCAATGCTCTCCCCGAGTTCACAGCTCCGCCTGTGTCAATCCGGTATGTGTGGAGGGATGACTGCTGCTCCCCTTGATTTTGACACTTAGGACGCTGTCAACATAGGTTTCCCATATAGAGAGATCGAGGCACGTGACGTTGTGTGTGACGTCACAGGTGGAGCTGTGAACTCCGGGAGCATTGCAAATAGCTGAAAGAGTGGTAAAGTATATGCCGCTTTCACTGCAAAGTAGTGACGACCCATATGGACACTGGACCATTTATGCTGTTACACAGTTAATATTTATGTTAATGTACATGAGAATTCATATAGTTTATTCTTTGTACCATTTCCTATGGATATTTCTATAGTTATATGCTGCCATCCGTGGTCTTATTTGGTAATGCACTTGTTTTTCATATTACCTCCCTGAGATCTATGACACAATTCCTTTGTATATGAAGCTCCTCCCTTCTTCTTGAGTACAGCACTTCCTGTGTCATGGATGCAGCTAACAGTCAACATGTAACAGGGACACATGTACTCTGCATAGTACGCTACAGAAAGTATCATCTTTTGACCGCATAATACTGGAAACCATTCATTCTGCTGTATCCTGTTGTCACATGTACAGAATAAAGCAACTTCTGGATGAACACAGTATTGGTGAGTTCAGCTATCTGATAAGGATTGCCCACAGTGATTATATCTGCTTATACAGGCTAGGCAGAGAGGTCTCACAAGGGATAAATTGCTATCACAACAATCTGAGTCAGACTTCCATTCAAACTCTCCATATATACTAGGTCCAGATTGGACCGGGAGGAACATGAAGCAAAAAGGTCCTACTGTGTTATCCATAGTTGGCCACATGTTCTTTGCCAACGTTGCTCAGTACACACCAAACACTTGTGTTATCCATAGTTGGTTGAGTGTTTTGTGCTGACGCGGCTCAATATACATTAAAAACTTGTGTCCATCACCGCACAGAACTCCTACAGTCTCCCCTCTTCCAATACTCCACACAGGGATCACCTATGTGGTGAACAATGTGTCAGTCTCTATAAGAGATACAACTGACTCGATGAACCTTTATACAAGGACTGATGTGCCAACTCAGAGGGCCCTGCTATACACAGCACGTTTTTCAAGTCATGATGATTGATATATTCTAGTGCAGTGGTGGGCAACCTTTTTTTTTTCAACTGAGCCAAATCTCGCCAAAACCACGATTGAAATTTATTTTGAGAGCCACATTTTTAAAACTGAAAATACATCCCCCATATAGTAATTCATCCCCCATATAGTAATTCATCCCCCATATAGTAATTCATTCCCCATATAGTAATTCATTCCCCATATAGTAATTCATTCCCCATATTAAGTCCCCCCTGTGTCAATTCACTTACCTTTGCTCCGCGCGTTCCTCTCGCCGTGTTCCCGTGCCGTTCCGGTCTTCAGGGCGGACTGTGAGAGGAGCCTAGCTCCCCTCCCCTCACGCTCGTCACGCTGCCCCGCCTACACACATCCTGACAGCCAGATCCTTGGGCCGGATTAAAAGGTCCTGACTTTTGGGGCGGCCGCCCGAGAGGAGGGAGGGGAGCGGGCGCCCGGCACACAGAAGAGCCGCATTAGCGTGTGTAAAGAGCCGCATGTGGCTCGCGAACCGCGGCTTGCCGACCACTGTTCTAGTGGACTCAAGGCATCATAGCATCAGTTAGTCCGCAGGGTTTCCAAGATTCACACATGGGAAACATCTATCGCGAGATTTCTTAATCAAATATGCAGCGGTTGCTACGGTACAGAACCCATGATTGACTCTACATGCGTCCGGATGTTTGTTAATTTTTGTTTGTCCTGTCTTTTTTTGTCTATTCATGTTTTTCAATTGTTTTATTCATGACTGGTGTTGAATTCACGTTGGTGGCTGTTTTAACCAATATTAAGCAATACAATTTTTGATTACACTTTGAAATCAGTACTGCTTTTGTGGCATTCCAGCCCAGAAAATATTTGTCACCAACGGTAACCACTGTGCCTACCTTTTGGGTCATTTTTGTTTGTGCAGTAGTCACACTGACCCAAACAAAATGCAAAACAGTCAGAAAAGATCTGAAGGGAAAAAAATGTCAGTGGCCTCCACCTGACAAACCATTCCTGTTTTTGGGGTTGTCTCATTGTTGCTCATCTAGTGCACCTGTTAATTAAATTAACACCAAAAGCAGCTGAAACTGATTAACAACCCCCTCTGCTACTTCACTGACCAGATCACTATCCCAGGAATTTAACAGACTTGATGCTATACTCTTATTAAAAAGTGTTCCTTTAATTTTCTTGAGCAGTGTATTAAAAAAAAAAAAAAAAAAAAAAAAAAAAAAAAGAAAAAGTAGGTCTAAGGTGAGCAAACACCAGCCACGATTTATTTATTTTTTAAATCGGGCAGGTGATCTCACTGGACCTAGCAAAAGTACATTTAAAACTGAGTGCTGGAGGTGTTAAGCGTGATATTTAGCAGAAAAAACACCATAAACTAATCTGCCACTGTAAAAATAAATTAAACTACTTCATAGCTTATTTACTCAAAGGAAAAAGAGGTCTAAGGGCAGCTATCCGGAGACCATGATGATAGTACACAGAGGTTCCCAAAACTGAACATGGCCTTCCAAAAGCACGCAGAACGGGGAATTAGAATAAAAAGCTCTACCCTTGACTTTGTTTATGTAATTAAAATGTTTGAACTATTCAAAGCTAAAATGGTCTTTCATAGAGGATGAAAGGAAAGAAAAAAAGTGCTTTAACATCTTCAGGCTCAGCTGAAACAAAGGGATGCTTCCTGAGCAGAGGTTGCCACAAGTAAATGGTGGCTGGAACCAGGTCATTCAGTCTCTAATGCTCCCTTTTTTCCCCCATCAAAGATTTGTTAAAGTAATTTGCAAAAAATATAAAAATGGCAAATTCTGCAAAACCTTTGAATACATCTTCGACACGTGAAAATTTTTGTCTGCCAAAAAATATGTAAGGTAGTACACCCATCTCTACTATATTATATGGCTATACTTCTATATTATTGTTCCTGCAATGGCAGCTTACATAATCCTTCCGTGATAGGTGTACTTTGAAAACAACAAAAAAAAAACAAAAAACACTTTCAACCGGAATATGTTGAGAACCTGCAAAGTGACATCAAAAGGAATTTGTCCCTAAGAAAATTAATACTGGTATATAGCACTGTACAAGACCATTAACAAGTCACTACACACAAGCAAGGCATGACATTTTCTTCAAAACCAAAGCATGGAAATAGGAAAAATGGTTGAAAACTGGAGTCAGGCATACTCACCATTGTCAGGACCCTGAAGCTTCATAGAATACAATTTAACCGGCTGGTTGAAAGCCACAGTGATCAGGAGCTGTGGGGGGAAATATAAAAGGTGGTCAGAGAGGCCGCTTGTGATACGAAAGAATACCCATGAGGAACAGGTCTGATAACTCAAGCTGCAATATGTGATTAACATGCCGATAGTTTCATACGGAGCAATAATATCATGACATCTCTTTATAATCTAAGCCAGCCTTTTTCAACCTTGTAACAGGAAGGAACCCTTGAAATAACGTTCAGGTCTCAGGGAACCCTTGGTAATGATTACTATATCTACAGCTCACTGGATATTAGAGTAGTGATCAGAGAGAAGAATGCTCCTTAAATTTGTGGTCATTAGGAAGAATCCTCCTCTTGCAGATGGCTAAAAGATCATTGCTGTCAGTTGGATTTTATCTGAGAGGCAGAAGCAGCTCATTGCTCAGGGAACCCCTACAAACCTCAGGAGGAACCCTAGAGCACCACAGAGCCCTGGATGTGAAAGGCTGATCTAAGCTTGAAGACACACACATTTCCACGTTTTAACAACCGATTCACTTGTGGGGAAAAAAAAAAAAAGTGCATTCCAGGAGTTAAAGCCAAGAAACACCATAAACCTATTATAACAATCGAACGATTTACATAAAAATATTAAAAAGTACCCAAATTAAAAATCAATTTATAATGGAGAAAACATACCACTATATTCCATAATATTAACCGCTTCCATACCACCCTATAGCAGAACTACTGCTACAGGGCTGCGCAAAATCACGTGTATATATGTGATTTTGCATTTCCATGTAGGAAACGGCGTGCCGCCATTGGTGGCTAAAACTGTTGATCACTGGGTCCCGGCCGAAGATTCCCTACTGGCACCCCCACGATCACCGAGAAACTGACAAGGGGGAGGTCTGTATCTAAACAATACAGATCTCTCCACTGTCCGTACCAGCATGCTGCTTTGTATTACTCTGCATAATAGAGCAATACAAAGCAGTATGCTTACATAGAAAAACACACAGTAAAACAGCACACAGTTAACCCTTTGATCTCCCCAGATGTTAACCCCTTCCTGCCCAGTGTCATTAGTGCAGTGTCAGTGCTTTTTATTACCACTAATCATTGTATTAGCATCACTGGGGATGTCAGTGGCAATTAGTCAGAATGCCCGCCGCAGTCCCGCTATAAGTCGCTGATCGTCACAATTACTAGTATGGAAAAAATAAAAATTCCAATATATATCTATCTATTCTTTCTCTACACACACACACACACACACACACACACACACACACGTAGACGCTATAACTTTCACTTAAACCAATTAATTTACATGTATTGGGATTTTTGTTTTTTTTTTAGCAAAGAAAAATATAGCACAATACATTTTGGCCTACATTTATGCCAAAATTTGATTTTATAAAATCTTTTTCACTGGATAGGTTTAATAGCAAAAAGTCGAAAATGTTTTTTTTTCAAAATTGGGTCGTTTATAGCAGAAAAAAAAAAAAAAAAAAAAAAAAAAAAAAAAAAACACGCAGAAGCAATCAAATACCACAGAAAGAAAGCTGCATTTGTGGGTACAAAAAAAAAACAAAAAAAAAAAAAGACATTTAATTTGGGTGCAGCGTTGCATGACCGTGAAATTGCAGTTAAAGTAATGCAGCGCCATATTGCAAAAAATGGCCTGGTCATGAAGGAAGGTAAAATCCTCTGGAGGACAATTAGTTAATGAACGCTGTAGCCTGCATTTTGCAGCCCATTCATAAATTGTAGGTTGCAGTAGGGAGCCTACAGTACCTCACAGAGTTCATGTGACCACAAGTATTGGTTTATCCTCCTGCCAGTTTGAAGTCCTGTCCCCATGTTCTTGATCTTGGCTTCATAAAATCCTGCCCTCCTGAATCTTATTCACTCCCTTGATGTATTTAAAGGTTTCGAACACTCTTCTTCCCCTCATATTAAGTTCCTGAAGTTTCTCCTGATAGGTCTGGGGGATAAAACCTTTCACCATTTTTGTTACCCATATCTGGTCATTCTCTCTCAATATCTTTTTTGGATTTCGAGGTCTCCAGAACTGGACACAGTACTCCAAATGAAGAGCTAATAGGGGAATCAGGACTTCCTTCCTCCTGCTGGTGATCCCTATAGTGATGCATCCTAGAATTTTATTCACTTGCCTGGCCGCATTGTTCACACATTTTGCAATCATCTGAGATAAGTACCCCCAAATCTTTTCCTCTGTAGTGCTGGCCAACACTGTACCCCCAATGTTGTACTTTCTCAAGGGATTCTTTTTCCCTAGGTGCATTATTTTACATTTAGAAACATTGAACTGCAGTTTCAACAACTTTGACCAATCTTCAAGTAATGCCAAATCATGTTCCAGACACCTCCAAGGATATCAACCCTATTGCACATCTTTGTGTCATCAGCATAAAAAAAAAAAATACCTTACCCACCAACCCTTGAGATATATCACTTACATATAGATTAAATAGAACAGGACCAAGTACAGAGACTTGTGGTACACCACTAATGACTGGTCTCTATTCCAAATGAACCCTCATTTACAGCCACACTCTGGTATCTATCCTTTAGCCAACTGCACATCCACTAAACAACCAGAGTTAAAATAAAAAAAAAAAAAAAAAAATCTAATTCACCTAGATGGATGCAGCACTGTTCCCAACTACATCTGCCCCTAGCCACCTCTAAGACAGATGTAAGTGATCGAACTCTGACCACGCAGCTCTTGGTGTTTAGCCTGCAGAGAGATGGTGACAGTCAGTCTCCAGCTCTCTGCCCTGCTCCACCAGCACTCACTGGAGCACTGAGCTCTGGAGGGGGAGAGAGCAGCTTGCTGAGAGGCTGAGCCAGCTGTCAGTCCAGGCATCTAGGTGAATCCCGACAAGAGTCAGGATCCTTTCTGAGCCTGCACTGGCTTAATGATGTCAGCTGACGGTGAACAGAAACCCCATTCATGGCCTCCATTACATCCCTGCTCCTGCTTGTAAGTGCAGTTTGAGAATTCCAGTTAAAGTGATTGTAAAGTTTTTTTTTTTGTTTGTTTTTTTTAAACAAAAAAAAAAAAATATATGTTATACTTACCAGTTCTATGCAATTGTTTTGCACAGAGCAGCTCTGATCCTTCTCCTTCCCACTTCTGGTTGCCCCCATAGAAAGCCACTTCCTATGGGGGCACACATGCATGCTCGATCATGAGCTGTGCCGTTTGCGTCTATCCAGAAACACAGCCCGGCTCGGCAATGCCCCCCACACTATCTGCTCACAGGTTTTGACTAACAGCAGCAGCCAAGCCTGGGAGAGGGAAGAAGAGCTACTACAGGCATGCACAGCACTGGCTCAAGATTGGGCTCTAATGAGCATTTAGAAGGGGCTGGGGGGTGTGCTACTATTGACATTTTTTGAATGTTAATGCATCCTCTGCATTAAGGTAAACAAAATTATTCCCCTTTACAACCACAGGTATGTTAAAATCCCCATTAAAACCTCTCCCTTCATTGCCATTCGAGTTATCTCATCATTCAAGTTATGGTCTACAGTCTGTCCTGGGGGCCTGTATACTACAACAACTAAGGGAAGATCCCTGTTCAGTAGGAAGGCAGACCCAGAGGGCTACAAGTATTTCATTTGTTTTATGAATGTTAGTCTTATGATATTTCTAACATATATGTCAAACTCTTACCTCCCCTCTTCCCTACTCTGCTCCTGTACAGTGTATACCCTGGTATAGTTATTTCCCAGTCATCTGAATCCTTGCACCATGTCTCTGTAATAGCAACAAGGTCCAAGTTGTCCGTAGAAATAATCACCGTCATCTCACAAAGCTTGTTGCCTAAACTACGAGCATTAGTGCACATGACATGACAAATACTGCTATCTAAAGCTTTAGTTTTTGCTTCAGAAACTAACTGAACCAACTACCCCATCAGCCCCATCCTAAGCAACACAAACCCTCACATTGGTTTTAACCTGCTGGGGACAGAAATGCTCATCAATAAAATCTCTGCACCATTTTTCAGTTTAACCACTTGCCTACAGGACACTTTAACCCCTTCCTGCCCAGGCCAATTTTCAGCGCTGTCACACTTTGAATGACAATTGCGCGGTCATGCAACACTGTACCCATATGACATTTTTATCATTTTTTTGAGACAGAGCTTTCTTTTGGCGGTATTTAATCACCTCTGGGTTTTTTATTTTTTGCTAAACAAACCAAAAACTGAAAAATGTTGAAAACAAAAAAAAAAAAAAAAAAAAAAAAAAAAAAAAAAAAAAAAAGTTTAAGTTTTTGTAATAAAAGTTTGTAAATAAGAGATTTTTCTCCTTCACTGATGTGCCCTAATAAGGCTGCAGCGATGGGCACTCATAGGCGGCACTGAAAGGCAGCACTCATGGCACTGACTGGCACTGTTAGGCAGCACTGAAAGGCAGCTCAGATGGGCACTGACTGCTGGCACTACACAGATAATTAAGGCACACTGATCAGTGCCTTGATAATCAGTGTACATGTCCCCTCTGAGGAATGCCGATTACCGGCTCTCCTCACGAGCTGTCAGCGTAACAGCTCGTGAGGAGAGAAATGCTGATAACCGGTATTTCCTTATTTAGATGCGATCAACTGTGATTGGACACAGCTGATCACATGACCGAGTCGACGTCTTCAGCTCTTTCCGTTGATCGGTGATCCGCTGTGTCCAAGAGACACAGCGCACCACAGATCACTGAGCAGCGCACGCGCGGTTAGAGTGGGAGGACATCGCATGAGGTCCTCCCAGAACGAGAGAATCTCCTTGCGTCCATCATTTCCATATATGGCGGGCGGGAGCCGGTTAAATGAATCTCCAAAACTCCTGGATTCCATTACTAAGCTCAGTGTCCTTGTGTGAGGGATGCAGACCATCTCTTTTGTACAGCTCAATGTCAGACCACCGGCTAGCATCATGACTAACATAACCAAAACCTTCGGCTTTGCACCAATCCTTTAACCAAACACTGAGTTGTGCTATACGAAGGACTTTCCCTTGTTGTGCATTATGGACAGGTAAGACCTGTGGATTTCCCCACAAATCATTATCACTCAATTCTGCAAGTGGTTCCAATTTACTATCGCTGTTCTCTAGCTGGTCTAAAATCGCTTTTGACCTAAAGGGACGCTTTTTGGACGCCATGGACGTTTCTCAGTTTCCAGGCAGAAAGAACAGTAAAAATGCAGACAGGGGACAGGACAAAGCACTCGGGACAAAATGTATGTGAAATGGTTTGATACAGTAATGTTTTTACTATGTGATTTTAGGGTATTTAGTGAATGTCACTTTTTTACATTTTTAAATTTCCCGCCGGTTACGTCCAGACGTCGCAGGGAATGGAACCCGGAAGACAGATGCCGGCATTGGCCTGAGGAGATGGCCGGGGACACTGCGGGAGGGACATCGCGGGAGCGCAGGACAAGATAAGTGCAGAAGGGATCCCAGAGCAACACTGCAAAGTATTCCCAAGTGTAGCTCGGGGTTACCGCTTGTGGTGCTGAAACTTTACCGCAAGCTACACTCGGGAATACTGCCAGGGGGGTTAAACAGGCATCAGGCGAGCAACCACAGGCATCAGTCTCTCCATTATAAATTGTCTCTTAACCTCCCTGGCAGTCTAACTAATCAATATTTTTGAATGTCAAAGCGTTACTTTTTTTTGCATGGAAATTTGTTGTTTCATATTGTAGGCCTGTAATTCTTAGGAATAACCCACTTAAATCTGTCCAAACAAGAGTCTAGTAAACATCCCGGGTAGAATAAAGTTTGAAACACGAAATCATAAATAATATAAAATGATTTTTAAAAAAATATAATAAATTTAATTCAATAATATAATCAAACCAAAAACACTGAAATTTGAAATACAGCGCCAAGTTCGCACATCACTGAGCTCAGTCGCAGAATTGTTTTTCAGTGTCTGATGACAAATTTCCCCACGAATCATTATCACTCAATTCTGCAAGTGGTTCTGATTTACTATCGCTGTTCTCTAGCCAGTCTAAAACCGATTTTGACCTAAAAAGGGACACTTTTTAGATGCCATGGACGTTTCTCAGTTTGCAGGCAGAAAGAACAGTAAAAGTGCAGGCAGGGCACAGGACAAAGCACTCGGGAGAAAATGTATGTGAAATGGTTTGATACAGTAATCTAAAAGATTACAGCGTATTGTGTGTATGTCAAATTTTTACTTTTTTGAATCTCCCACTGGTTTCGTTTCCCCCCCCCCCCCCCGTATGTCTCGACGCTCGCAGGAAACGGAAGACGGATGCCGGCATCGGTCGGTGGACATGGCTGGGGGACACATCGAGAGGACCTCGCGGGATCGTGGGGCAAGGTAAGGCTCAAGGGATCACTGCAGTGTAATCCCGAGTGTTGCCCGGGGTTACCACATTTGGTACTGAAATTAACCCCAAATCACACTCTGTATTACCACCAGGAAGGTTAATTCAGGTACAGCACTTTCTGGTAGTCTGGCCTCAGCACTTCGTTTCATCCTAGGCCTCACCGCCTTCTGGGATTCCCAAGTCACACTATCTCAAGGAGCCAGTGTACTGTACAATGTGCATACACTGGATTCTGACAGGTATATGGCACCTGGAAGAGACTGAAGGCACATCTGCTGGAACTTTCAAGATGGTGGTTTGGAAAAGCTATGAGGGGAGGGAATGGATAGCATGGTAAAGTTTTGTTTTAAATGGGTTTTTTTTTTTTTTTTTTTTTTTTTTTTTAAATCAGACATTGATCACTTCTGACCTCTGGACTAACAGAGCCAGACGGAGTCAGAAAAATGCCCAGAAAACGCAAATGCTGGGATTCTGACAACATAGCATGTGCACAATTTGGCCAAACTTTTTTTTTTTAAACTGGAAATGCTTGCTGCAATGTAGCAACAGGACTGCAGATCAACATAATAGTGAGACTACAAAGTGCAGGCTGGAATGATGGATTGCAGGAGTAGTTTAGCTGCCCAATAAAAACACAAAAAAAACCAAACTTCCTGATACCACAGTGCTGTATATAGCAAATAATAAAAGCGCCTCATGTCACAAAGTGGCATCACTAGCCTGTAGTGAATAATTGCTCCATACAACAGCAATGTCAGTAATGTCTGTTAAATAAATAACTTTGGCTAACTCCTGGGAATTTGATGAGCTAGGCAGTGCTTTGGTCTACAAACATTGCTTTTGTGTTTGACACTAGTACACAGGTACACTTAAAACCGAACAAGAAAACCCCATCAGAATAAAATTCAAAGTTTAAAATTCCATGGAACGGTTCTCCCTCCCAAAGCCACATCACTGCTTAAGGAAAGAACATTTATTTTACATCTACAACTTACCTGTTCATCGCAGTCTGATTCAAGGTATGTTGGGTCTTTCTTTAAGCAGTTTTCAAACTCATTGTCATCACTTTCATTAAGACATTCACAACCAGCTTTGTTTACGAATGGCATTAAATCCATCTGCAAGGAACCAAAAAAAAAAAAAAAATTAAAAATCGAGTTATTCCCTGAAAGGCAAACGTGTTATCTACATCCAAAATGCCACAGTATATACACAGTTAGGTCCATATAAAATTTGGACACAGGCACAATTTTTTGTTTTTTTTCAGGTATTTACAAAAACATTCAAGCTATAGTTATAAAATGGATATGGGCTGAAAGTGCACACACTCAGGTTTAATTTGAGGGTATGTACATTCAAACTGAAGGAAGGGTTTAGGAATTACAGCTAAGAGTAACCATCCCCTTTTTTTCCAAGGGACCAAAAGTAATTGGACAATTGAATAAAAAACTGTTTCATGGCCAGGTGTGGGCTATTCCATTATTTCTTCATCAATTAAACAGGTAAAAGGTCTGGAGTTCATTCTAAGTGTATTTGCATTTGGAATCTATTGCTGTGAACCTTCATCATGTGTTCAAAAGGAGCTGCCCATGCAAGTGAAAGAGGCCATTGTAAGGCTTCAAAAACTAAAATCCATCAGAGAGATAGCAGAAATTTCAAAGCAAGTTCAATTTCAAGTGGTTCATTTCGTCATTTTATGATAGTTTCATTCTTGTCAGCAATCATCAGTGCAGCATATGTAAAGCATGGCATTATTGGCCAACAAAGCTGAAACAGCATTCTGCAGTTTGGAATAAATGGATCTCATATTAGAGCATATTTTTAATTGTACCAGGAATACATTTGTCTCTTGTGCAGAACCAATTTTTAATTATCTCAAAGTGATTCTACTTGGTGGATTTAAGTACACTGGTATTTTTCAGGGGGTGGGGGTGAAATCAACACAAATCAAGGGAAATCTTCCAGGGTACTGCTTAGGCACAACATTTAAGATTTCAATAAGGTAGCAAATCCATCACTTGTTGAGTTCAGGTCCACTTTAAATACCCGATTTTTTTTGTTTTAATGCCACCTGTTAACATTCAGACAAAGCATTAACATGTGCATTTACATGCAAACCAAGCTTTCCAGCTCAAAGCGACAGAGGCTTGAACAAAGTATACCAATACCAACGGAATGTAAAATAATGACAATAAGCACCCATGGCAGTGTTATGGTATGTTCCAACCCCTGACAATGTGAGTTTGGTCTGCATGCAAAATGAGGAGTACATCTATAAAGAAAAGATTTTAATGACAGCCAATGTAAGTATACATACGTATCCTTTGGGAAATATCCGTGTCTTCATTGTTCCCTGGATCATTCTCCAGGTGCTGTTTGATTTTTTCTTCCTAAACCAGCAGCATCTGCACCTTGGTACTGATCAATTTTTACTTTATTTCTGAAGAATAAAAACGTGGGGGTTGCCGATATATTGTTGGCAGCAGCGGTTCCCTAAAAATGGCAAATTAAAAGATGTAAAGTGATTGTAAAGGTAAAAATTACAAAAAAATACATAAACATGTTATACGTACCTACTCTGTGCATTGTTTTAAACAGAGCAGCTCCAATCTTCCAGTTCTATGGTCACCCGCCAGCACTGCTGGCTCCTCCCCTGAGCTGAGTGCCCTCATAGCAAACTTGCTATGGGGGCTTTCAAGGGTACTCGCTCCTGAGCCAGCTTTGTGGCTCCCTAAGACACACAGAGCACAACTCAGCCACCCCCCCCCCCCCCCCCCTCTTTTTTTTCACTGGCTTTTACTGACAGCAGCGGAAGCCTAAGGATAAGTCTGATCCAATGAGGGAGAGAGCTGCTGCTCTCGTCCAGGGTATGGACCTTCTCTTATGGCACTGGAGGAATGCCCCATGTGTATGGTTCCTTACCTAAATTGTAGGGTGCTTCTCCATTAAGATCTAGGAGTCTATGGTGGCAAACAGGACTTGCAGTCTTCCATTCACATATCTCCCTGAATGGATCTTTGATTGGATTAGACAGCTGTTCAAATAAAAACAGCGCTCTCCAAGGAGAAGCACCCTACAATTTAGGTAAGGAACCATACACATGGGTCAGGTGGAGTATTCATTTAGGCAACCTGACACTTGAGTGGATAATGGTAAGAAAATTATCCTCCAGAATGCTATAAGAATCCCCACCAGGGATTCTACTCCGCTCTGACCCCCTTCTTTTAGACCTCTGAGAGTCTCATTGTTGCATCTCAAAACAACAGAGTAGGAGTCGGCTGAAATGGCTTTGGCAGGTAGATAGACCAAGGTATTGGGTGCAGAGAACATTTTACAAGATGACCTAGTAGTCATAGATTCCGCCTGTCAAAGGCACAGTCCACTTACTTGGCACTGATGTACGTCCACTTCCAGAAAGACGGCTTGTGGATACTTATTACTAAGTGATGTGAACACCGGTGCTATCCTCACACATGGAGCACACCTGAAATACAACAAACACACTTAGAATCCAGGCAGAATAAATGCTAATCACAGACGTAGAGCTGGGGATTCCCCTCCCTACCTTCACCTGTACACTTGTGTACTAGGTATAATCTCAATCAGGGCTGGTGACTCGTTTAATCCACTTAATATGCTCATTACGGATTAGACTAAAATCGGAAAATCTTATTTTTAATCTCAGATGAGCAGCGATGATTCACAGACCTGTGATGACCAGACATTTCTACACACCTAATGCAGCAAAGTGACATTAGGTTGTGATTGCTGTGCAGAGCTTCAAACACCAATCTATAAATCATAACAGGATATGCATCTGATATAGGTTTAATTCCCACTGGTAGTACATCCACATTGGAAAACCCATGGGATGCCAAAAAATAAAAAATTTAAAGTGGTTGAAAGGCCGAAAAGGTATTTACCTTCATGCACTTGAAGTTAAAAAAAAACAAAAAATAAACACCTGTGTGCTGCTCCCCCCCACAGCCCCCTTTATACACACCTGAGCATCCTCTCGATCCAGGGCTGTGCATGGGAGCTTCGGCTGTCCCGGGTCTCTCTTTCTCCTTACTGGCTGAGACAAAGCAGTAGGAGACATTGGCTTCCACTGTGGGCAGTCATTGTCAATGCGCCAAGGTGGAGAAAGTGGAGAGCGGGGCTCGGGAGCAAGAATGCGCCAATGTCCCCAGAGCAAGCGTCTTAATGGAAAGGAGGGAGGAGCCAGGAGCGCTGGCTGGGAACCAAAGAAGAGTAGAATCGGGGCTGCTCAGTGCAAAACCATTGCACAGAGAGCAGGTAAGTATAACATTTTTTTTTTTTGCCCTCCAGAAGATTTACCCTCCTTCCTGAGCAGGACATTTTTTGCGATACGGAGTTGCGTTATTTCAACGGACAGTTGCATGGTCATGCAACGCTGTACATAAATGAAATATATGTCATTGTCTTCCCCACAAATAGAGCTTTATTTCAGTGGTATTTGATCACCTCTGCATTCTTTACTTTTTGCACTATGAACAAAGAAAGACCGACAATTTTGAAACAATCGCACCTGAAATCGGCATCTCACCCGACTTCACTGTAAGTTGCACGATTTCAAAGTTAGGCTTGATTTGACCGGGGGGGGGGGGGGGGGGGGGGGGGGTTAGGTATAAACACAGTGCAGCATGAAATATTTTCTGGAGTCACACGTTCTGCTCCGTGCATTCAATGGAGAGGAGAGAAAACAGGAGTTGTGTGGGAGTAGCAGCGATATGGGAGCAAAGTAGATGGGGGCAAAAATGTACAGCCCCCAAAATGTGGAAGGGTACAGACCACTGCCCCCCCCCCCCCCCCCCCCCCCAGGCTGTTCCATCAGCAGGAGGGCTGACACATGGGAGCTAAGGCACCAGCAATACAACTGGAGAGGGAAGCGTTTGCTTATGTACCCCCTGCACTCTGTACATTACACACGCCTGACACCTGCACATTACGCACGCAAGTCCAAACTTTGCCATGCCCACCATGCACCACAGTGTGCTACATGCACCCGTTACCCCAACCACCACTATGCGGTCACTCTGATATTATTCTCAGATCCATTCATCGGGGGGCTGGGTCACTCAGGAGGCAAGTCTACAGAGCACCATAAGGGCCAGTGCAGACACCTTGGATCTGAGAGCTAGATGTCACTTTCTGACTATCACAAATCTCCTGAATGCAAAATTGCAGCGTGGAGGAAAAAAAACAAAAACCACTGAAAGCTTTGAGTGAGAGAAAGACAGCACCGGACCACAAGGACAAGTATTAAAGTGGTTGTAAAGGCTCCAGGCTTTTTACATATGCGCAAAAGGTAAAAAAAAAAAAAAAAAACCTGTGTTCAGCAGCACCCCCACCCAACCTTCCCTGAGCCCCATCCCGATACAGAGTAGTGCAGACCAGCCTCAACTGTCCCGGGGTCTCTGTCCTCCTTATTAGGACACGGACATTCCCCCTTAAGTTTGTAACAACTTATTCACTAGTGGAAGAAATGTATTCCAGGGGTTAAAGCCAAGAAACACCAGAAACCTATTCTGTAAATAATTTGTTATAATGAAAACTAATGAAGTACCTGAATGAAGAGTCAATTTATAATGGAGAAAAACATACCACTACATTCTACAATATTACTCAAACACTGTACCCTTCAGTACTGAGCCTGCGGTACCTTATGGAGAGCTTTCTGCACGGGGTATCAGTTGGGTGACAAATGTTCAGTAAAGCTTTGACCACACCTAGTAGCTGATTGGTTGCCATACATAGCTGCACCAGATTCTTTGGTCTCAAGCTTTAGTAAATCTCCCCCTACTACTGATCCATGTACTAAGCCTGATAATGCACTCCTACTGTTACATAGCCTGCCCTGACCACAGGTATTATACATCAGGAGGAGTACAGTATAAGGCTCTGTACACACAAAACACAGCCGGGGCAGCCGGGCCCGGCAGGACAAAACACAGCCGGGGCGCAGTCGGGGGCCCGGCAGGATAAGTACAGCCGGGCCCGGCAGGATAAGTACAGCCGGGGCGCAGTCGGGCCCGGCAGGATAAGTACAGCCGGGGCGCAGTCGGGCCCGGCAGGATAAGTACAGCCGGGGCGCAGTCGGGCCCGGCAGGATAAGTACAGACGGGGCGCAGTCGGGCCCGGCAGGATAAGTACAGACGGGGCGCAGTCGGGCCCGGCAGGATAAGTACAGACGGGGCGCAGTCGGGCCCGGCAGGATAAGTACAGACAAAATCGGTACTGGGATGCCTGCAGCTGCTCAAACTCCAGCAACGTACGGGCCCCATGTCATGCTCCCCGTCATAATGCTCCCCACAGGCAATAGCGACGGCCCCATGTCATGCTCCCCATAGGCAATAGCGACGGCCCCATGTCATGCTCCCCACAGGCAATAGCGACGGCCCCATGTCATGCTCCCCACAGGCAATAGCGACGGCCCCATGTCATGCTCCCCACAGGCAATAGCGACGGCCCCATGTCATGCTCCCCACAGGCAATAGCGACGGCCCCATGTCATGCTCCCCACAGGCAATAGCGACGGCCCCATGTCATGCTCCCCACAGGCAATAGCGACGGCCCCATGTCATGAGTACAGGCAATAGCGACGGCCCCATGTATGCTCCCCACAGGCAATAGCGACGGCCCATGTCATGCTCCCCACAGGCAATAGCGACGGCCCCATGTCATGCTCCCCACAGGCAAAGCGACGGCCCCATGTCATGCTCCCCACAGGCAATAGCGACGGCCCCATGTCATGCTCCCCACAGGCAATAGCGACGGCCCCATGTCATGCTCCCCACAGGCAATAGCGACGGCCCCATGTCATGCTCCCCACAGGCAATAGCGACGGCCCCCATGTCATGCTCCCCACAGGCAATAGCGACGGCCCCATGTCATGCTCCCCACAGGCAATAGCGACGGCCCCATGTCATGCTCCCCACAGGCAATAGCGACGGCCCCATGTCATGCTCCCCACAGGCAATAGCGACGGCCCCATGTCATGCTCCCCATAGGCAATAGCGACGGCCCCATGTCATGCTCCCCATAGGCAATAGCGACGGCCCCATGTCATGCTCCCCATAGGCAATAGCGACGGCCCCCATGTCATGCTCCCCATAGGCAAAAGTGATGGCCCCATGTCATGCTCCCCATAGGCAAAAGTGATGGCCCCATGTCATGCTCCCCACAGGCAATAGTGATGGCCCCATGTCATGAGGCATGGACATGTACAGTACACAGATCGGTAGTAGGAGTACAGCTCACTGTATATTAGAGTAGTGATCAGAGAAGAATGCTCCTTACATTTGAGGTCATTAGGAAGAATCCTCCACTTACAGATGTCTAAAAGATGATTGCTATCAATGGCTACTCACCTGACAGGCAAGACGCTCATTGCTCAGGGAACCCCTACAACCTCTGGAGGAACCCTAGAGCACCACAGAGCCCTGGATGTGAAAGGCTGATCTGAATGTTATTAGGACACTCCCCCTCATGTGTCTAACAATGGATTCATTAGTGCAAAAAGTACATTCCAGGGTGAAGCCAAGAAACACCAGAAACCTACTAATAACAATCAGACTATTTACATAAAACTAACCAAGTACCGCAATTAGGAGTCTATTGACAAAGGAGAAAACAGTCCACAACACTGCTGCCTTTAACACCTCAGGGTATCGGTCGCCTTGATCAGTAGTACCGGGCAATACCAGTGGCCAGGTGGGCAATACCTGGCCAGGTTGGAACTCCATTCTGAAGGCTACCAATACCTGCTGGTAGTATCCATTCTGAAGGACACAGGCGGGTGTATGAATACAGACCGGACACACACACAGATTGGTAGTATGAATACAGTCAGGTGGGTAGTATGAATACAGACCGGACATAGGCGGGGTAGTATGAATACAGACCGGACACACACACAGATTGGTAGTATGAATACAGTCAGGTGGGTAGTATGAATACAGACCGGACATAGGTAGGTAGTATGAATACAGACCGGACACACACACAGATTGGTAGTATGAATACAGTCAGGTGGGTAGTATGAATACAGACCGGACACAGGCGGGTAGTATGAATACAGACCAGACACACACACAGATTGGTAGTATGAATACAGTCAGGTGGGTAGTATGAATACAGACCGGACACAGGCGGGTAGTATGAATACAGACCGGCAGGGGGGTAGTATGAATACAGACCAGACACACACACACAGATTGGTAGTATGAATACAGTCAGGTGGGTAGTATGAATACAGACCGGACACAGGCGGGTAGTATGAATACAGACCAGACACACACACAGATTGGTAGTATGAATACAGTCAGGTGGGTAGTATGAATACAGACCGGACACAGGCGGGTAGTATGAATACAGACCGGACACAGGCAGGGGTAGTATGAATACAGACCGGACACAGGCGGGTAGTATGAATACAGACCGGACACAGGCGGGTAGTATGAATACAGACCCGGACACAGGCGGGTAGTATGAAACAGACACACAGGCGGGTAGGGTAGTATGAATACAGACTGGACACACACAGATTGGTAGTATGAATACAGTCAGGCCGGTAGTATGAATACAGTCTGGACACAAGCCGGTAGTATGAATACAGACAGGCCGGTAGTATGAAGAAAGCCCGGACACAGGCCGGTGGTATGAATACAGATGATATTAGACCGGTAATATGAGTACAGACAGTCGGTACTCTCACCCTCTCATGGTAAATTTGACCACACTCAGTCTGGACCCGGCGGCGCTCAGCTCGGGTTGGAACTCTCCATCTCCTCCGATCACTTTCACTCCCACCATGTTGCCGGTCGCCGCACTACTCTTGTTTCTGCCGCGTCACGCCTGGGCCCTAATCTCCTCCCCGCCCACAACGTCTCAGCCATGTGACCCCGGAGACGCTTTCGCCACCATCTTCCTTCCTGGCATAACACCTGTTGTCCCGGAAGTGACGTCCAGCTTTTACTGCTGGCCTGTTCCCTGGTCATGGGATGTAGGTAGTGTGAGGAGTTGGCGCTATTAGTACATTACTTCAGTGGTAGCGGCCTAATTCGAGGAGCTCCTGTTGGCAATGAGACCGGCATGAAAGGCTGTTTTCAGTAACAAATGAATATATAAACCAAGAGAAATCTGTTACTATAAACACATTTTATGTTTTCTGGGTGAAATGTCACTCAAAGCACAGCCCTTTTATGATTTGTTGGATACATTGATTGGCCATTTAAAAGTCAGGAATTGACCCGTGAAAGGTGGATCGCTTGACTGACCAATCAGAAGTCAGGAGCTGTTGCCCCATGTAAGGTGGATAGCTTGACTGACCAATCAGAAGTCAGGAGCTGTGGCCCCCATGTAAGGTGGATAGCTTAACTGACCAATCAGAAGTCAGGAGCTGTTGCCCCATGTAAGGTGGATAGCTTGACTGACCAATCAGAAGTCAGGAGCTGTTGCCCCATGTAAGGTGGATAGCTTGACTGACCAATCAGAAGTCAGGAATTGTGGCTCCATATAGAGCAGATACCTTTATTTACATATCAGGAATAGCTCCCCATAAGGTGGATAGCTCCACTGACCAATCAAGAGTCAGGAATTATGGATAGCTTCAGTGACCACTCAAGAGTGAGGAGTTATGGATAGCTTCAGTGGCCAATCAAGAGTCGGGAATTATGGATAGCTCCACTGACCAAGAGTTGGGAATTATGGATAACTTCAGTGACCAATCAAGAGTCGGGAATTATGGATAACTTCAGTGACCAATCAAAAGTCGGGAATTATGGATAACTTCAATGACCAATCAAAAGTCGGGAATTATGGATAGCTTCAGTGACCAATCAAGAGTCTGGAATTATGGATAGCTTAAATGACCAATCAAGAGTCTGGAATTATGGATAGCTTCAATGGCCTCAGAGATTCTGCTCTCTCCTGGCTCTCATCCTACCTGTCACAACGCTCTTTCAGCGTTACCTATAACGCTACCACCTCCCCCTCACTCCCCCTCTCTGTTGGGTCCCTCAAGGCTCTGTCCTCGGGCCCCTTCTCTTTCTTCTCCATCTACACCTCCTCCCTTGGCCAACTCATACACTCTCACAGGTTCAACTACCATCTCTATGCCGACGACACACAAATCTATCTCTCAACCCCCCACCTCACCCCCTTGGTCTCCGCCCGAATCACACACCTACTGAGCGACATATCAGACTGAATGTCGCTCTACTTCCTTAAACTGAACCTCTCCACAACCGAGTTTCTTGTCTTCCCCCCAGCCCGGACACCACCCCCCATTGACTTCTCCATCATGTCCAACAACGCCACCATCAAACCCGCCCCGCAGGCCAGAGTACTTGGTGTCATTCTGGACTCCAACCTATCCTTCCAGCCCCAAGTCCAATCTTTAACAAACTCGTGCAGACTCCTCCTCCGCAACATCACCAAAATACGCACGTTCCTAACCCCAGAAACCACTAAACAGCTCATCCACTCCCTCATCCAGACAGAGGTCAGGGGTTCTGCATCCTGCATCGTCCTAGAGAAAACTCCTCCTACAAGCTTTAACCAGTGCTCGGCTGGACACTGATAGAAGTCACAAGACTGCTCTATGGGAAAAGGTGTTTAGCAGTTTACATTTACTAAAATAATGTCATTTCCATGTTGTGTGTACTGTGGGAGACCAGATATAGTGAATGCAGGGTCCGGGAGACCTGATATAGTGAATGCAGGGTCTGGGAAGACCAGATATAGTGAATGCAGGGTCCAGGGAGACCAGATATAGTGAATGCAGGGTCCGTGGAGATCGGATATAGTGAATGCGGGGTCCGGAGAGATCGGATATAGTGAATGCGGGGTCCGGAGAGATCGGATATAGTGAATGTGGGGTCCAGAGAGATCGGATACAGTGAATGCGGGGTCCGGGGAGACTGGATATAGTAGACCGGATATAGTGAATGCAGGGTCCGTGGAGATCGGATATAGTGAATGCAGGGTCCGGGGAGACCAGATATAGTGAATGCAGGGTCTGGGGAGACCAGATATAGTGAATGCAGGGTCCGTGGAGATCGGATATAGTGAATGCAGGGTCCGGGGAGACCGGATATAGTGAATGCAGGGTCCGTGGAGATCGGATATAGTGAATGCAGGGTCCGGAGAGATCGGATATAGTGAATGCAGGGTCTGGAGAGATCGGATATAGTGAATGCAGGGTCCGGGGAGACCGGATATAGTGAATGCAGGGTCTGGGGAGACCAGATATAGTGAATGCAGGGTTCGGGGAGATCGGATATAGTGAATGCGGGGTCTCGGAGACCAGATACCACACACCTGTGTGAGGGTTGTGCTTTACCTGCATGGGGGTGTATGGGTGTTCTGTGTTTCCTCATGCTGACAGTCCCCTTTATACCAGTTGATCCCAATTTGACTGCCGAGAGGTTGCAGGTCCCCAAATAAACCTCGGCCGTCCGTGGACGCATGTGTGCTGAATGTAGGTGTTAATGTCCACTGTCTATGTCACCACACATGTGCGTTACGTGGGCAGCACTCCTGCTTCTCCTGCAAATAAGATTTTTTATCCTGAAATCTGAACATACACTTTTTTCACCACAAACTTTAACAACAGACATAATTAAGCAAGTAAGTATGATTCCCCCTACAATTACATATAATAAGCCCCATGTCACACGTGTATTTTCTAGTATTGCTCAGTCTTTACTGACATTCCCACTCCTACTATAATAATCTTCATTTACTTGTAATAAATTGAGCTGAATCTGTGGTTTGCCAGTAACCAAGATGGCAGCTTTTTGCTAGCCTAAGCAATGACTTGCCATTAATCAGAAGGTGCCTTTTATTTACTTCATATCTAGCGTCTTTACGTCACAAGTCCGTTAAATCTAACCAATGAGAAGATTTTAATTGGCCGGAAGACGAGCGCGTCATGAAAAACACACCCAATTGTTGATTCCGGAACTTCCGGAACGGTTTTTTTGTGTGCGATAAACTTTATTGACACGTGCATGTTAGGCATCACCAGCTGGTTCTCAGTGCCCGGAAGCTTGTTCATGTGACTGTCTATCCTGCCTCGGTTTCTGGAAGAACGACAGATGCCGTAAAGTGGCGCGTTGTCGCCATAGGAACAGTCAGCTGGTGGGAGAAGAGGGGGTCGGTGAGAAGCAGAGGAGGTGAGAGGTCCGTGCCTAGGGGAGAGGAGTGCAGGAGGTGAGTGTGTACATGGCTGACCGCTCTCTGTATGATCATGGAGGGGGCATGGTGTCATATCTGAGGATGGGGAGAACAAAGAGAACCTGTCATGAAGGAGCTTTATATAACATGAAGGGGAGAAGATGGTGTCATTAACCTAGGAAGAGAACCTACCATCAGAGAGCCCTGCCTACCACTACATGGAGGGTGGGGGTGTGCAGGGTCACTCAGTTTGGATTTTTTGCTGTTATTTGGTGCTGTGTATTGTGGTTGCTGCCTGCCAGATGAAAACTTTTATATATCATGTCATGTATTATACAATGTATGCTGAACCATCCGAACCAGAGGAGCTTACAATCTAATACATCACCTTACCCTGCCAGACCGGTTTTGTCAGATTCCAGATGAAACTTGTATGGGATAATCTTATCTTCTCTCATCCTTTTCCTTCCTCGCCCCCTCTATTGCCCCCATCTCTGCTCTCCTCTTTCCCCTCCCTCTCTGGTGGTATGAGACTCAGTACAAGGACTCCTCTCTCCTTTCCCTCTCCCTCTCTCCTTTCCCTCTCCTCTCTCCTTTCCCTCTCCTCTCTCTCCTTCCCTCTCCTCTCCTCCTTTCCCTCTCCTCTCTCCTTTCTCCTCTCCTCTCTCCTTTCCCTCTCCTCTCTCCTTTCCCTCTCCTTTCCTTTTTTTTTTTTTTTTTTTTTTTTCCCCTTTCCCCTTCCTTTCCCCTCTCCTTTCTCCTTTCCCCTCTCCTTTCCCTTTCCCTCTTTCTCCCCTCTCCTTTTTCCCCTCTCCTTTCTCCTTTCCCCTCTCCCTTTCTCCTTTTCTCCTTTCCCCTCTCCTTTTCTGATTCCCCCTTCTCCCCCTCTCCCCTCTTTTCTCCTTTCCCCTCTCCCTCTCCTTTTCTCCTTTCCCCTCTCCTTTTTCTCCTTTCCCCTCTCCTTTCTCCTTTCTCTCCTCCCCTCTCCTTTCTCCTTTCCCCTCTCCTTTTTTCCCTTCTCTCCTCCTTTCTCTCCTTTCCCCTCTCCTTTTCTCCTTTCTCCCTCTCCTTTCCCCTCTCCTTTCTCCTCTCATCCCTCCCCTCGCCTTTCCCCCCTCGCCTTTCCCCCCCCCTCTTTCCCCTCTCCTTTCTCCTTTCCCCCCTCCTTTCTCCCTTTTCCTTTCCCCTCTCCCTTTCCCCTCTCCTCCCCCTCGCCTTTTCCCCCCTCGCCTTTCCCCCCTCGCCTTTCTCCCCCCTCGCCTTCCTCGTTCCTTTCTCCTTCCCCCTCGCCTTTCCCCTCCCTTTCTCCCTTCCCCTTCCCTTTCCCTTTCTCCCTTTTCCTTCCCCTCTCCCCTTTTCCCTTTTCCTTTTCCCTTCCCCCCTCTCCCTTTCTCCCTTTTCCTTCCCCTCTCCCTTTCTCCCTTTTTTCCCCTTCCCCCCCTCCTTCCCCCTCTCTTTTCCTTTCCCCTCTCCCTTTCTCCCTTTCTCCCTCTACCCCTCTCCCTTTCTCCCTTTCCTTCCTCTCCTTTTCTCCCTTTTCCTTCCCCTCTCCCTTTCTCCCTTTTCCCTTCCCCTCTCCCTTTCTCCCTTTTCCTTCCCCTCTCCCTTTCTCCCTTTTCCTTCCCCTCTCCCTT